CTTTACGTCTGTAATAGTGAATGGGTCTTGTGTTGGTGCAATGACTAAGTTATTTTGCTTGGAGTAAGTTCAATAGAAATTTTTCCTGCCCAGTTTGGTAAGTATCTTAAAAACCTGAAGATGAGGAAAGATGACAAAGGAACTCTAAGTTTCAGTTTTACTTTAGTGGCAGCAGTTCCATCTGAACCAGAAAGGTTAACATAAACCCCTGGAACGTTAGGGTCAAGTCTTCTTATTTTCTCAATAGTTGCATACTGGTCTGTTTGTTCTCTAGCTTGTGGTTGTACTGAGTTTCTCAAAGCGAACCATTCATAGTTTGCCCATGTTACTGTTTGAACTAAGTCAGAGTTAGAATATATCTTATTCCCATGAAAACTTCTGGAGCATATTGGTATCCGACATAGAAAATTCCATTGCAACCTTTCTTGTCAGACAACTTGGCAGAAGGTTTTATTTCAATGTCTTGTTCCACGTATAAGAATGAGTTGTCAATAGAAATAATATGAAACCTGTCGCAAGCAATATCTACTGTTGTTGAAGAACCTTCTCCAAACTCACCTACGTTTCCATAAGAAACAGCAGTTGTATATTCGTAAGTTCCAGGAACTATTTCTGACCTTCTAATGGCATTGTCGCATTCGTTATACCATTCGGAAACATTTCCGTTCATGGCATCCAAAACTGTTGGCGTTATATTCTGAGCGGCGTACATTTCATATGGGTAAAAATATAGAATAGTTGGATTTATATGTCATAATAGAACCCACTCGGACCAAGCTTTACTTTCTTCCTGACTGAGTTTTTTAACTGAATCTTTAACTCTTCTTTTTTCCTTCATTGCCACTACTTTCACTAGATGAAGTTACTTCTTCACTACTTTCACTTTGTTCTACTCTTCTCTTCTTCTTTGGTGTCGCTTTTGGTAACTTGCCCTCTGCTTCAAGTTGTAGCATCTTTGCCTCATGTTCACCTAGTATGTTGTAAATTTCCCATGTCCTTTTTGCCTTTGGGCTCTGGTCGCCCATCTCAGGTAACCTATATCCTAGAAAGATTTTGTCATAGTTTGTATTTGAGTCTTCGCGTATTGTTTGCATGACTCTTTCCTGAGTTTCCGGTTCAAGCTCTTCAAACAGAGCTTGTCCATATGGAATAAGCTCGTTTCCAAATATATGTTTTTGTAGCCATTCTGGTTTTCTTTCCATGTAACCAATAATATCTTTTGTGAATGGGAAAGCTTTTACCCAATGTTTCAGTCTTGCATCATTTATTTCTGTAGTTGGTTTTATTTTGTCATGGAACATGTTTTTCAATACTAACATTTCATTTGGTACTGTCCATTTGAGTTTTCTTAAATATTCATCCCTTCTCATTTCATTGTCTGCAAAGTAAGTTTTTATGACATTTTGCAAACTTTCGTTTGCAAGGTCATGTACAATAGGTTCTCTTCCTTCTCTCTCCCTAACTCTCTTTCTAAACTCTTCACCAAATATACCATCTCTATGGTTCTGTGTAGTTCTTTGAGATAAATGTTCTAGAACGTCAGGTGTTATATTTCCCTCAGCCATGTTCATTTCATACTGGTCCAAAATATCTGCATCTTTCATATCTTTCAATGGCATTAAAGCCGCGCTGAAAATACCCGTTATATCTGGTTCACCATTCACTTCCATTGCGTCTACAACTTCTTGGAATTGAGGTTGTAAGTTTATGAACCACCTATCCTGATTAGCTTTATGACCCCATCTCATTGTAGTTCCATAGTCTGCAGAAACAAAAGTAGGTTTGTTTCCATATTGGTTAGGTTCTGAATGAACTTTAAACAATGTTTCATTTCTATATGTTTTGTTGAAATTTAACCTTTTATTTTCACCGAGTTCAGCCAAAGATTGAACGTTATATGGTCGTAAGTAAAAAGGATTATTGTATTTGCGTACATTTTCTTTCAGTACTTCCATTCTATGCTGAATATTTTCATCTGATGTTGGAGTCTTTTGTATGTCGGTGAACATTTTTCGATATTTCTTCTACTATGTCAGCCGAATTTTTCTTAGACTCTTGGAAAGATTCCATATTCACCTCATACTCTTGTTGAGGGTCAAGATTTTTCGGCTGTTCCAAATCTTCATCTAGTTCTGTGAAGTTAGTTTCCAAAGGAGGGACTTGTTCGTTTCCTTCAGGCTCTTCTAGCTGTTGTTGCTGAACTATTTCTTCCATGTCTGGTTGTATCTGAACTTCTTCCTGTGGAGTTTCTTGTACCTCATCTGCTGGCATTTCATATATTCCGAGACCGTTTTTAACAAGTTCCCTATCTAAGTCATCCGGACTCATAAACCTTTCTTCTTTCGTTCCGTCTCTATTTTTTACGCGTTTCATGAAGAGAGTTGAATTATCATTTATCTCTGACACCAAATATCTCGGAGTAAATTCAGTCATGTCATTTGGATGATATGCTATTAAATCATATCCCTTAGCGAGCTTGTATTTTCCAGGTTTGAAATTATATCCCATTTGGTGCTGAACCATAAAGCTAAATAGGTTCGGGTCAGTATTTCCTTCCTTGAACTTTCTAATAGCTTCTTTATATCTGTCACTAAAGTCAAGAGTATCTGGGTAACCATAATCTTCCTTAAGCATTTTTAAGAATTCTTGGTTTCCTTTTTCTCTACTTCTTTTATGTCCTTGCTCTGTTTGTGGTTGTTGTTGTGCAGGGTTTTGAACTGTTGGTTGCTGTGCTGGTTGTGTAGGTGGTTGTTGTGCTGGTTTTGGTTGTTGTTGTTGTGCAGGGTTTTGAACTGTTGGTTTTGGTTGTTGTTGTTGTGCTGGATTTTGAACTGTTGGTTGTTGTTGCTGTGCAGGGTTTTGAACTGTTGGTTGCTGTGCTGGATTTTGAACTGTTGGTTTTGGTTGTTGTTGTGGTGCTGGATTTTGAACTGTTGGTTGTTGTGTTGGTTGTTGTTTTGGTGCATGCCTGTGTCTGTGTCCATGTGACGATGTAAATGTTTTAGGTAGTCCTGGTGCAGGTGCTTCTCTTGGAGGGTTTGGTGGTATATAAGTTCCACCAGCTGGCACATATGTTCCATCTGCAGCATAATGTCCTACCTGACTTTTCGTTTTTAAGAAAGCATTTACTAGGTCTGTTTTGGTCTGTTGTAACTCTTTTTCTTGACTTTCCACAACAGTTGCTCTAACGGCGTCATAGGCACTTTGAACTGCCTGTCTCGTTGCTGCATCTGTTATTTTCGTCATATTTTGTGCTACCTCTCTTAACTCTTTGTCGAAACCTTCAGACTTCAGTTTCTTTCCAGATGAGAAGTCGTTCACTAGTTTCACCTTACTATGAAGAGCTTCGAAGGCATTCTTAAAGTCAGCATTCATTAAAGCTTCATTTGAACTGTCTTCATCCGCTTGTATTTTTGTCCTTATTGACCCTATAAGTTGGGCTGCTTTAGCGTTGGCTTGGGCATCTAACCAGTCATTATTAGCTTTTATAATATCTGCGCTTTTCATTGCCTTTTGCATGGCTGCGTCGTTATTTTTACTTTCTTGTGCTAAGTTTTCATACTGTACGGTTTGGTTTTGCAACTGTAAAAGCTTTTCTGCCTTTACATTTGCTTCAACTTCTTTTTTATACTCATCGCTATCCATATATGTCTTCATGGCTTTTTGTTTTATCTCTTCATCTTTCAGTACTTTATATTGAGTAGTATGGTTTTTCAAATTTATAACATCTTGTTCCATTTTTGCTACTTCTGCTGCTTTTTCTGGACACTTTTTTCGCATATTCCTCTGTACTTAGTTCTTTCAGTTGTTCTTCTTTCTTCTTTTTCTCTACGTTTAACTCATTGAGTTTCTTTGTGTGTCTGTCATATTCTAGTTTCTTTTCGTTTTCACTTATTTGTTTCTGTATGTCTATGTTTGACTTTTTGACATCTGTTATTTGATTTTTGAGTGAACTCAAATTCATTTGACTTTGAGGGTTATAAGCTGTTCCGTCTGCAGCTCCACCATAGCCTGCCATTTTCGCTAAAAGTGCCGCTCTTAAACCTCCACTCTGTGCACCAATAACTCGGTTTAAAAGCATAGGGTTGCTTGACATTTGTTGCAACATAGTGGGGTCATTCATCATTTGTTGTTGCAACTGTTGTTGTGGTGTCAGTTTTACTATTGGATGTTTCAATGCTCCCTTCCTCTTACGTATATTCTTACGTAGCTTACGTGGCATTTTAAGTGAAGTTAAAAAGCGGTTTTTGACAGATGTTTATATGACACTTTTTGTTCAGCACAAAAAACTACTCGGTCAACGTGTTGTCAGTTTTGTAAAATAACCGTCCTATCTCATTCTATAAGGGGGAAAGGCTTCTCAAAGTATACTTCCTTGGAACGCCTGTAACTTTTCCTGTAGCGATGATAGACCCTTACTTGTCCGGACAAAGTTATACTATTTTAAGTGCTCTACAAAAAAGTCAACGGAGACGACTCTCAAAAACCGTTGTGTAAAAAAGTTTTACCGTTGGACAAAAAAGTATATATAGAAAACAAAAAACGTTTATAATTCATTCAATATTTGAGATAAACTGTTTTTCCAACGGTAACTATTAAATAAAATAAAAAAATAGTGGGTGTTACCGTTGACGAAAACGGTTCATCTCAAATATTTAAATATCTGTCTTTTTTGGTCAGTTAACCACAATTCAAACATTAACAATTCTCAACCGCTAACCAAAGCCAAAGCCCCACAACCTCCAAGAACCGGCACAGCGGTTAGAATAACCACCAAAAAGTCTAACAGCGAATTAAGAGAAATTCTTCAACAAATTTGCTCTAAATATCTCAAAGACGCCGAAGAAAACACACAACCAGACGCTACATACAATACTCAGTTCTGTGAAGTTCTGAACAAAGCAATTACTAGTTCAATTGAACTTACTAAGACAATTCCAAGTCCAATTGAGCTTAGCGATGTCTTAGTTCAGTATTTTCCAACATTTACTAAGCTTATAATGTTGAGAACTTTATACCAAGTTCGTCAAAATCTTCCTCGTTACATCCAACGGTCATTCGACACGAGAATTGCCGAATTCCAAGTCTTGAGTTATGGATATGACGAAGATGAATACGTTGACGAGTTCGGAGACAACCGTACAAAATGGTTTGAATGTTATACGACAACACAATTTGAATTCGACTTTCTCGAATTCAACGCAGCAACCATTCATATCATTGCTCTTTACCTTTCCGAACAACAACAAGACCTCGCAGATGGAGATGTTGTTACTGTCGTCATGAAAACTCCTGAACAATTCGGAAAAAGAAGTCTCTAATTGCCAAATTCGTTCCAGGACATCAGCTTTTCCAACGCACAGAAGTCTTCTGTATTCCTGGAACTAAGTTCTTTGTCAGGAGCGAACTCAAAGAAAGATATAATGTGTCATTCAATTACACATTATATAATGTTTTCGACCCAGAAGAAGGCTTCTTCCCAGAAGCAATGGAGGAGGAAGAAGAGGAGGAGGAAATACAAGACTCTATCCAAGAAGAGTCCTCCGAATTCACACCAGAAGACTAACAATTTTCCGAATAAAAGCTTCATTTATACTAAACATCTTCGGGGCTAGAGGGCGCAACGCGCCTGGAAGCCCCACTTACCTGACCTTATATGATACTTAAGATCTTTTGACACCGAATGAGACGAAAACTTGATTTGAAATTTCGATTTTGTAGACTTATAGAGAGGCTAATTCTGTAAATGTAACACATTTGCACAAGAAATTTAGTACAAAATTACATTCCACCTTTATTCAACTTATATGTGTGGAGAATAAAAATAATTAGCATGAAACTCTAATACTATGACTTATTGTATCAAAATATTATTGTTATCTGTTAATAGCCATATAATAACAAACTATACTGTGATAGTTTACGTCATTATTCGGTCATGATGCAAGCAAAAGTACAGTAATACATTGTGCGTGCCCGTGTGCCTCCAGCACGCGGTCCCGACACAATGGGACCATATTGCAATCACACGGGCACGCACAATATATAATGCCTACATTTATTATTATATAGTATAATTGAGAAAGAAAAAAGTGTCATAATTATTATGGACGCCATAATGAGACGTGCCTTTAGTGGCGAAGAAACAGCCAGACGTACAACTGGGGGATTCTTATTCGCACCAATTGATATGGATGATGTTCCAACAGATAAGAGACAAAGGATCCAGAAGAGGATCGAGATCATGACAAAGATCATAAGAAACCAAGATCACATTATAAGTAAGCAATACTCGCAAATACAAAGAATGAAGAGAACAATGAAAATGATCGAGTATGCAATAGAACAAAGAAAGAAGCCACTTGTTGACGATCAAACAGAGGAAGAGGATGATCAAACGGAGGAAGGAGATGTTCAGACAGAAAAAGAGGAAGTACTTATAATAAACCTCCAATCCTCAGAGGAGGATAAAGAATGATAACAAGATCAAGATCTTGTTGACCACAGTACCTAAGAAAACTCAACAAATCAAATCCCTTCAGAATAAACATTCATTTAATAACTTTACTCTTTTTTTATGTGTTTGAGGACGACCTTTGTGATCACAAAGATCGTGATCTGTATATATGAGTGTGAGACTATATATGTGAGTATAAAAAAGAGTTATAGTAGTAAAATTAGGTGTTTATTCGTGGTTTAGAGGAGGGATCAGAGATCGTTCGCTAAATTTCTGATACACTTCTTTAATTGTTGGAGGCACGCTTCTGCGTAAAGGCACCGGGAATGCCAGTTGTCTGCTTGGTCACCGAGGCATTGTTTCTCATAGATCAGATCACTGATTCTATTTGCGTACGAGCCATTGTTCCTCTCAAGGTAACGAATATACTCTTGGTTCTTCCGAACTTGTTCCTTAACCTTCTTCTGTGATTCCTTGAGATCAGCGATCGTGATCTCCTGTTTCTCCAAGAGAGCTGTCATTTCCCTGACTCTTGTTGCAAGTAGAAGCTCTCTTGGAGTAGCAGGAGGTCCGGTCTTCTTTGCTGTCTGTTTTTGGGGATCGGGGATCTTGATCTTGACCTCTCTCTTTGCAGCCATGGGTATTTCCTCTTCTTCTGAGGATGACGAATTAACATCATCCTTGGCTTTGTTCTCTTCAGGAGCTTTTGGCACGAGTGTGGCTTTGTTCTAAGCCATTAAAAAATGTAAACTTTACGTGCCAGATTTTTTTGACATGTAAACCCATATATAATAAAAATATATTATAACACATATAATAACATATATTTTTACTCACTCCTATACCAACAATAAACAGTCATAAATGGAGGCATATAGTTGACACCTTTTCCTGTTGTATCTGTGATTCCAGCTACTGTGTGAGTATGGTTTCCTGCAGATCCGCAGAAAATACCTGTACTAACATCTCTAGGGTCATCTGTGATATCATATCTATTCATACCTTGCCTATCAGAACCTGTAGCAAGATTTGTATAACCTCTTTTTGTCATCGAATGTGTATGTTCTCCATTTGTAGATGTTGTTGCACTGAACCTATGATTATGTGAAGGTAAATTATCCACACTTATTTTCTTAGAACCACCAATCTCTTTAGATGAATTAGCGCAGTATAAGAAACGGTCAACAATTTGAGTCCACTTACCGAAACCAAATATTTGCTCAGGTGATGTGTTATTCATAGAGGTATAAATACTTCCAACAGGGTATATTTTCTGCATCATTAGTGTTTCTAATGATGTTTTCTTAGTAACTTTGAGGTTAAATATAGGTGTAAATAATGAAGGGTCTGCAAAATAATCGTATGCATGAAATGTTTCATCATTGACATTAATGTTACCTGTTTCTTGAGTATACATTGGGTCATAATGATATGAACCTTCAGTAATATAACCTTTCTTTCTTGTGTACTTATAAAGGCGACTATCTTCATCCTCAGCTTCTTTAGTAAAATATTCACTCACATCATAAGCTTCATTCACTTCAAACTCTTCAGTAATGAAAGGTATTGTCTTCATATCACTCACATTCTTTATCTGTTCATCCACATAAGTTTTATCAGCTTTCTTGTCTAGCATTGCTGGTAGTTCATATGCTTCAAAGTTTCTGACATGTCCTTCAATATTCGTACATTTACTATCTAAACTATTAAGTGTATCTCTTACACTAGTGCTTGGATTTGGTAAAGGAGCTTTTGAACCGAGGTCAAAGTTCAGTATTATGTCATCTGCTCTAACGGTTGTAAATGTTTCATGAGTGTGACCTATTAGTGAGTTCGTTACTGTTCGCTGTTGTTCTAGTTCATTATATATATGACTAAATGTATTGATTAATTCTTCACCTTTATACACAATTGAGCCAGAACTAACACCATCAGGGAAGTTAACTTTATCCTTAAACTCTTCTTCCACATGTTCTTCAGTTCCATCTGGTCTTAATATAACTTCACCCGTTTGTCGTTTCTTTGTGAGTCCATGTATTATATCAAATGTCATCTCATTACCTTTGTCCAATTTCTTTGCAATCTCAGTATCAACATAAGATTTGTCGGCTTTGTCTGCAATCTCAAGTGCAGTTCTTCCTGCATTATTTTTGTTGTCGTCAACTTTCCTTGTTATCTCAGCAAGCATAATCATTGTTAAGTCATGTAAATTATCACCATCAGACTTTAGTTTATTTAATATCATAATCTTAAAACTTTGATACAGAATGTCTTTGAAACCAGGCACTATTTTTGTCAATTTATCAAGTAGAGTTTCCTTATTTTCTTCAACACTTCTTAGTAAAGGTAACTCAACTTCCCGCAATATATCCCAACCATCATTAACTCGTTGAGTAATTATTTCTTCAATATAGTTGTCAGACATAGGTTCGCCAATACCTTCTGACAGATCATATAGCTCCATCGCATTTTCATCAAGTAGTTGATGCCCTTGACGACTTATGCTATTTCCAGACTGTGTTACTTTTTCAGCTGCATCTTGGACATTGTCAACAAAATCGTTGACGGCTTCAGGAAAATTTCCTCCCTCACCACCGAATGTACTTCTCAACGTATCCAAACCTTCATCTTTTCCGAGAAAAGCCCATATTGCATTAATTTGGTGCTGTAATGAAGCATATGCCGCACCAGTTATGCCTGCATTAACAAGGTCACCAATGAGACTGAAAGGATTAAATGACTGACCTTTATTATCTTGTCGTTCAACAAAATCATCAATATGTTTCTTTAAGTATTCCTTTGTGAGAATAACTCCATCACCAGCAATACCAGTTGCTTTAGGTCCATCTTCAGTAAACGTCAAAGGTTTCTTTAACATAACTTTATCCAAGTATATTGCAATACCACTATTTTGTATCTGTTCATGACCTAAAATATAAGCAAAAGCAATGTTTAATGCATTATATAAAGTATCTTCTCTAGTTGTTAATACATTGTTTTCAATGAATGGGATATTAAACAATGTAGACTTTGGGTCAAAATGAACTCCATGGTCAACCGATAATAACCGTTTGACATGATAGATGATAGTCTCTAATGCTTCATTAATATTTATCTCACGAGTTGTTTGTAATCCATTATCAGCCATACATGATAACATATATTTCTTATCAGGAGCGAAGAAATTTGCTTCATCCTTAAATGTCTCTAATGATGTTAATCTATCATTGACAACATTCATCATAGTATTTAATGCATCATAAGGTACTAAATCAGTGGAACCACCAATGACTACATCATCTTCTCCTTCTTTACTTAACACTAATGCATCTTCTTTGATAGTTAATGTATATTTGTCATATTGTATTAAACGAGCCTTTTCACACTCAAATGCATATGGAACAACGCTCATCTTTTTTATTCTGTTAAAAATGCTGTATTATTTGCAATCCACAGATCCAAACAATTATGGAACAATCCAATTCCATGCAGACCCAAACATGGGTCATCCGACAAAAGTTATGATGAGAGTGAGGTCAATTAATACATATGCAAACTTTGCATTATCTACTAAAGTTGATTACACAACATTTAAGGCAGAAAAAGAACCAGATGTATATACTCCATCTCATGAAGAGTTATTTCTAACATATTACTTTGAAGATAAGTGTAAATATGATGAACATAACTACTTAGACTATTTACAGAAAAATGTGTTTACACAAGATGAAAAACCAACAATTACTGTCAACCAAGACCCATTTGGTAGAATCAAACTTTCTATAACATCAGAAAACACAGATACTTTCAAAATAGTTGATGCATCACATAGAGCAATGATGTTATTAGGTATGTATAACTCAAAGCTACCATTAGTATTTGACAAAGATGGTGAATACTTCTCATTAACAATGCCATCAACACCATATTTATCATTCGGTAATGAACTATTCTTAAGGTCATCATTATCATCAATTTCTGGCTTCAATAACATTGCAGGAGTAAAAAATTCAACAAACGTGATGTACAGAAGTGTTTAATGTCTCAGAGTTTCTTCTGCCAGGAAAACCAATCATTGCAAAAGAATTGCAGAACTGGTATGATGCATATCCATGGGAACTCAATAATGTCACTTTTACTCTAGTTGACTGTCAAGATCAACCGATCAAACTTTTTAGTCCATTAAATATAGTTGTAGAGATAAAGAAGCTTGAATTAGATGAAGAATTTGAGGATTATGATCCTGATGAAGAAGAACGATAAAATAAATTAATCGTTTATTTTTATTCTACATAAATGAAGACGCTGAATAGTTTTATTGGAAGCATGAAAGCTCAAGACTTCAAAGATGCTTTGAACTTCTTTACTATTCGCTTCAATCCAAGATCTAGTATAACAGATCTGAAGAAAGCTCATAAACGTTCATTATACAATGCATGTATGCAAAATAATATAAGGACTGTTGAAGACTTTACTTCTAGAGTACAAACAGTTAACCAACACTTAGATTCTTTGATGAACATGGATTCTCAACCAGGAAGAACAAGAAGATCTGAAGAAAGTCGAGATCACGTACAAGCTTTAATGAATATGGCACCACAACCTGGTAGACAACAGTCAAATCATGAAACAAGACATACAATCTGGCAGATGTTAAACATTTCTCCTTTATACTCTGATCCAGTAGAACCAGCAATAGATGAGAACAACCTTGCTAAAGTACAGGTCGAAAATGCTTACAGAACAATTGCTAGCATTAATGGAAAAAGAGCTGAAGGTGAAGTATGGTTAAGTCCAAATGTTAAAGCAAACAATAGATACATGAGATTTGACATACAAGATTATGATGCAGAAGGTAAGGATTACTTCAATAGAATGTTTCCTAAAGTAATGACAGAATTTATTAAACAGATCGATGCATTTAAACAGAATTGGACCTTTTATTATGACATGTCTAGTCGAACAAACATATTACGTCATCTTAATGTCAATACAATGGGTTCATTAGTTCATCAACTCCTTAATGAATCACCTATTGATGAAGTAAGAGCATTAGCTGCAACAGTACTTGAATCAAACTATGACTTCTTCCTTTGCAACATTCCTGAGTTAAGAAAGATCGAGATCTTTGACTACACAATGTTTCAAAATATACCTGTAATGAAGATACGTAATGGAAACGTTCAAGATGAGATACAACTTACTGAGATGGAGAAGAAGATTCTTAAAGCTGCAAAGAAAGGTGGTGCAGGAGATCTTGCAATGGAATACTTCAAACAGATGAGAGACCAATTGACAAAGAAGAACAGAACAAACCGTTCAAGAAACGCACAATTATGGACATGGACATTGAAGCTTCCGATCAACCTTGAAAGGTATCAGATCTTTAATGAACTCAATGCAAGGACTGCAAAACTTATGATGAATGATTGTTGCTTTATCTATGCTTGTATTGAAGCTGGCGTTGATGAAAACACAATAGATCATATGCGTGAAATGATCAGAGTCAAAGACTTTCCAATGATGAAGATAAAAGTCATTGCAAAAGAGACGGGAATAAAGTTTCATGTCATTAAATACAATCCAGACTATTCTAATTATTCTTACACATTTGAACCAGATGGAGAACCAAGGATGACGATAGAACTTCTTTTAATGAATGATCATTACATGCTCAATGAAAAAGTTCCTATTAGTACAATGTTCATCAAAGATTATGACAACATCTGTCAAGTTTGCAAAGATTGGTCATTAGAGAAGAAAATGCTCATCAACAGAAAGTATGAAACAAGATACGCCATCAATTCAAAGCTTGTGACTCCAATCAGTAAAATCCTTGAACTTCGTTTCAAACATAACTATTTCGAACCTATCAGAACTGGTGAGTTATGTACATATTTCACAACTTTATACAAAGAGAAACTAGGTGAAATGATTGACTTAAATTACACACCGAAATATTGTACAAGAGTCAAGAAAGATTGGAGTGCAACAACGAAGAAAGACATGAAGTTTCCAAGAGAACATGTTTTCTTTGCTGACTTCGAAGCTTCAACTGATGGTGACATTCATAAAGCTTACAACATTTGTTACATGGAAGATGATGATGACAGTTATACTTCCATTTGGGGAGATAATTGTGCTCAAAAATTCCTTGAAGCTTTACCAGATAAGAGTTTAGTATATTTCCACAACTTATCTTATGATATCACTTTCCTCATGTCTCGTCTTGAAGAAGTAACAGGTACACCTATCATCAAAGGATCACAAACGATGCAGATACAAGGAAAATATCATGGTAAGTTATTATGCTTCAAAGATTCTTATGCTATCATTACAACAAAACTTGAAAATTTCCCTGAAATGTTTAAGCTTGAAAGTGGTGAAAAAGAAGTTTTCCCATATAATTACTACACAGAAGACCTTGTTAAGACAACAAGAATTGGCAACATTGATGATGCCATGAATCATGTCAAAGATATTGAAGCTTTTTATCAGAACATTGAGAAGATTGAAGGTTGTAAGATAGATGATGAACACTTCGACATGGAAGTTTATTCATCATTCTATTGCGGTCAAGATGTGCGCATTTTACGAGATGGATTCCTCAAGTTCCGTAATGATGTCATGAAAGAGTTTGAAATAGATGCTTACGATTATGTTTCAATGAGTTCTATCTCAAACAAACTCTTTGAGATGAGAGTATATTGGAAGAATGGAAACTTATTCGACTTAGCAGGAAAACCAAGAGAATACATCTCTAAGTGCATTCAAGGAGGAAGATGCATGTTAGCAAACAATGAGAAACATTTCACTGACTTTGATGCTGTATCATTGTATCCATCAGCAATTGCTAGACTTTACTGTTTAGAAGGAATTCCAGAGGTCATGACAGAAGAGATGAAGAGCAGTGAATACTTGTTAGAACATCTCTTTGATGATGACCAAGCTGAACCAACAAAGGAAAAGTTCATCTCAGGATTTTACTATCAGATCGAGATCTTGTCGATTGGTAAAAAGTCAGCATTCCCATTAATTGTCGTCAATCCTGACATCAATCCTGACCTTAATGTTGCTCGCAGTTCCAATACATGTTGTAAGATGTTCGTAGACCACATTACGCTTCAAGATCTGATCAACTTTCAAGAGATCACATGCAAAGTCATTGATGGATACTATTATGATGGTAAAAGGACTTGACATTTTTCTGTAAATATGGCATAAGTTCCTTATCGTCTTTCTTCAGTACTGGTGCTTTGACTTAGTTAGTATGGTTAACTTGGGTACGGCGGCACTGCGTTCCACCTTACCCAACTTAACCTTAAATATTTACAAAACCATCTGACACATAAATGACTTCACTAATGACTTCACTAACGACTTCACTAATGAAAAATAAACGTTCTCACTAACGTTCCCACTAATGTTCTCATTTACAAAAGTATTGCAGCGCTTCCCATTGCTGTGCTTCACACAATAGTTCATATTCTTCAGTATCGCTGCTGTCACTCCAATCGTCAGAGTCAAAGTCACTGTCAAAATAAATGTTAGTAAGTTTTGACAAAGCTAATGAAACACGCTTACCGTTTGTATCTATTGCTTTTATATATCTCCCATTATGTTTGTTGTCATAAACGCTCAAACTAACTTTACCCTTTCTCCCTCGTATCTGATAGAATGTATTTTCACGAGGAACGAAGAACAAATTCTTGAACTCATGACCGTTGTAGTTTGTTATCTCAATAGTTTTCGTCATTTATATAAAAATAAAATAAAAAATAAAATAAAAAATTAATGATATCACCACCCTCACACGTATGAAAACATAGCACAAAAATAAATTTAGGGTAGAAGGTTAGATCTAACCTCATTTCTACCCTCATTTCTACCCTGTTGAATTCATTGCTTTATAACTCTCTTCCTTGGTTTCTTTTTAGTTGCTTTCTTCACGTCTGTCTCCAACTTGACTGTCTTTCTTCTTCGTCCGTAATGATACCAGTTACTTCCACCAGTCAATGGGTCAAATGGTCTTTCGTAAGGGTTTCCATACATTCCATAAGGTCCGTATGGAAGAACTACTAGTGGAGAAGAAACATTTTCTTTAGTTCCATCGACTCTATTTAAATGCATTGTTTTACCTTTCATCTGGTCATTAAAGTCTTTTGCGTGTTTTGCAAACTCATCGTCCTTTCCTAAAGCATTTTCTGACTCAGTCGCAACCAAATTGGATGCTTTATTTATGAGCCCTATTTTATTTAATCTTAACTTCTTTGCAACCCAGCCTCCAATCTTCCTTTATTTGCATCTAATGTCTTCGAAACCCTTCCTCCACTCATTTTATTTACTGCGTCATAAGCTCCAAGTGCTTTTGCTCAAATGCTAATGCTTTTGTTCCCATTGCGCCTAAAGCTGCCCAAGCTAATACATTTACACCATATTAAAATCATCTCTCTTCAATATTATCTCATAAAAGTTCTCGTTACTGGAGAAAGTCAATGAAACATAAGCGTTCTCACGGGCTTCGCCCTCACCGCTTTGCGGTCTATCTAACTTCTTTCTTATTCATCTATTCTCAATAAAATATCTGAACAATTGCTAACATCTTCTACAACAGTTATTTCATCATGAATGACCTTCAAGAACAAGCTCATTTAATATGCAATTAAAATCATCTCAATAATGAGTCCATCCTTTCCATCTTTAGGTAGCACAACATCTTTCATTGAAGAAGGTTCGACAAGTCTTATGTTAAACTTACTGACAAAGTTTGTTATACTATAATGCTTCGGTGGCGAATACATGTAGTTTGAAAGACATAATATAGATTCTTCAGCAAATTCACTTATACTGGATTTTATAACAATGTTCTCACGAGACCAAACGCCACAATTGACAATCTTGTAAGCAATCCTGCTGAGCCTTCAACTGTAAACGTCGATGGTAACATTCCACGAAGGTCATCTATTGACATCTTTGAGTCACTGAATTTAAATATTTTCTTAAAGCAATCGTCATTATCTAACCATGCAATAGCTTTGAAGTTTTCATTCGAATATACATCTGCTTCATTAAATGTAAAACCTGACTTCTTTGCAGAGATGACTTTAAAATCTATTGAGTTTGTTTCAAAATTATATGCTATGGTAACTTCTGAAGGTAATGGATGCCTTCCGCAGTCAGTTGTTCTCTCACTACCGTTTGAAGCTTTGTGTTAAAAACTTTCATGTCATCTCCTGTGTCTAGGTTCACATACACAGCAACAGGGAAACTATCTTGCTTCTTTGTTTCATCATTATATCTCAAAACATTAAAGTTCTTCAATAATATTGTTCTTCCTGCTGGAATACTTCGAACCTGTCTGATTTCAATAGCTTTCTCACCTCCTACATACTCTACCCAGTGTCTTGGATATTCATAAGTATACTGACTTTCTTGAATTTTGGTTGGTTTCATCATAACATGTTCATAGTATATCTTTATACTCTTGTCAGTTAGACTCGGTGCTATGTTCTGAATATTTCTGACTTGCATTTTTAATGGAGATAAAATGAAGCATTTAATACATGATGTAGATGAAGACATGAATGAAACTACAGACAAACTTAACTCTTCTCTTATTCTTCCTTTCAGCAAAGATTATGAATTCTGTTCAAATGGTGTGTATTTCTATTGTGGAAAGATGGGTTCAGGTAAGACATTTAACCTCATTCGTCATATACTCATAACAGAACGTTTAGGAAATGACTCATATTATGACCAAATCATTATATCAGCAACTTCAGACTCTATGGACTCAACAGCGAAAACATTTATGTCAAAAGTTCAAGCCTCTGTCGTTAAAGTTCCAGACAGTGAACTCATTGAATTTCTTCAACGTTACATTCGACGTAAGAGGAAATATTATGCCATCGTTGAATTTATACAGTCAGGAATGCAAAAGACTTCTGAGGAGATGGAAAGAATTATTGACAAACACCACTTACGTCAGTACTCAGGAGTTTACGATATGAAACGACTGACAAACTACATTCTGTCAAAACTTTCAAAATACCCCTTCAAAAAATATCCTTCAAACACTCTGCTCGTTTGTGACGACTTCGCCGGAAAAGGTTTAGTGTCAAAACCAGACTCACCATTAGCTAACATCATAACTAAAGTCAGACATTACCATTTAACTGTAGCAATACTTATGCAAACATGGAGGTTTTTAGCTTTAAACATAAAACGTCTCATAACTGACTTCATTATCTTTCAAGGTTTCTCACGCTATGATATTGAACTCATTTGGAAACAGTCAGGTATAACATTACCTTTTGAAGAAATTTGGGAAGCATATAAGTCTCTCATCTCTCCTCGTTCATACCTTGAGATTCATATCATGACTAATACCATTAAAGTCAAAAATATTCCATGGAACGACCAACATTGTTTTAAAGTTTAACCTTCAATTGACTGATGGTAAACAAATTCCATGCATCTCTGTCGCCATTTCTGTTAATATTTTTGCTGTCATTCATATCATCCACTTCCCCATCCGTTAGCTTTTGAGGATATGCGTTAGAATAGCTGTTCTTAAATGAAGGCTTTTCACCTTTGAGAGCATAAACTCTATAACTTTCTGCATACTTTATGTTTGAACCTCCTGAGCCATCATTGACATAAATTTTTATAGGCTTCCACCCTTTGTTCATGTTCCTGCTTCTTCCCTTAGCTCTTTTGTTCAGTAGTTCTACATCTTTATACACAGCACCTGTCTCAGTGAATTCAACAATATTTTCATTCGTTAGCTTTACATTCAAACCCTTGTCGAGTATATTGTTCATTTCATACATATAAAAGGTTTTTATTCTATATGAAATGAGAAGCAAATCCATCTTAGCTGGTGCCGTTAATGTTCCAATTGAACCAACATCAAATGTTGACTCACGAACGACAAACAATATTGTCATAAAGAACTATAGTTCAGAGTGTTTGAAAGAAAAAGAACCAGAACTGAAATCCGTGAATTTAAACTCAGCTTCAAACGCTAACGCTACATCAGATGTTAAGTTAGAGTATCCACCACTGGACCAAATTCTTTCAAGAGAAGCCAACGACAACCCTTACACAAATGTTCAAACAAATCCTTCAGATAACGTAGACCATTACCTTCTTCAGTTATACCAAACAATTTTACTCAAAGACGATAAGAAGCTTTTGACAAATCTTATAAGCAAGAACCAAATAATTCTAACAAAGGAGGACCTTGAAAATGTTATCTCACGAATAACAGGGAAACAATGTGTCATTGACTATCTCGACCCTGAAATCGAATGCTGTGGTCAAACTCCACTATTCATGAAAATAGGTAACATCCGCATCATTGAAACACCAGGAACTACAGGAGTTGAGTTTAAGTATAAATATTCGAACGAGTATACAAAACTATCTACTTACTATAAGCTTTGTTTGAAATATGTTTTAGTAAATTAAAGCAGTCAGGACCTTCGGTCTTGGCGCTTTGTGCCGTCAGTCAAAAAAATTTCAAGTTAGCAATTTGTAATATCTATCCAAAACTTCTTCAACAGTATCGAACTCATCTTCATAATGCAAACCTAATCTTATTGACTTGGTGCAGTTTTCACTAACACAATATTTTTTCTGTTCTCTTGACTGACATAACTAACTCATTTGTTTCATCAAACAGCAACAACCAAAGTTCATGACCTAATACATAACATTCATACTTTATATTTTTAGCTCTGAGTTCTCTTGTAAGCTGTTGCATTTAATATTTTCTAAAAAGTCAACTTCAACAGTCATTCGCACTGGTGCCTTCAGTTCTACAGGCTCTCCTTGAAAGTCAACAAGTCTGAATTGCATGTCTTTCAAATTATGAGGACTAATGCGAACCCATTTACCTAAATGAGTTGCTATGACAGGAACGTTTGGAATGAACATTGAATTGACTGCATAACAGAAAGACTTATATTCTACTGAACCTTTACTATTAACTCCTGAAATACCTGTGACATTAGCTATTTTAGACTCAATGTACAAACAATTACCATAACATACGTATGGAACAGATTTCATCTCAATCGTTTTGTCAACACTTTTCAAAGGAAATGTCATATGGTATGCACCCAAAAGAAGTTGTACTCTATGACTCATTCGTGTTATCTTAAACTCCTTCGCATAACTGAACTTCAAAACTCCTGCAATAAGTTTAACATTCATTAAGTTTTCTTCGTTCTCCTTGTTTATTGTAGTATTTATGAGCGCATTTAACACTCCAGCTAATGTTTCCATCTTATATTCTACATTATTGTGAAATCTTATTTCGTGCTTCTTTCCATCTATTTCAAACTCCATGAAATCTGTTTCGTCAGTTATAACGAATGAAGCAATAGTATTAAAGTCAACAACTCTGAAAGCAAGCGCTTCATTCTGAAGACCTAAGTTTGTTTGTAGCTTTACTGTCCCGTATTCGTTTGGGTCTGTACTTTGCAAATAGAACAACATTTTATTCTCATTAAAATATGACTATTGCTGCATATGCGTATGAAACAAATGAAGCAAGAAGAGCACATGAACTAGTAAACGAAAACTCAACTTTAACCATTGAAGGCAATGATTTAGTCATTGACGATGGAAAAACTAAAAAAGTCATTGATTTCGATACTTTTAACACTTATGACCCATTCATTACAACAAGCAAGGTTCCCATCATAAATGATGGAACGGTGCAATATATAAATTCTACAGTAGATGCCTCATTAGTGAAAGTACTGAATGTTCTCATTGAATTGTTAAAGAGCTTTCGATTTGACGACAACATTAAATGCCTAAAGAATTTAGTCATGAATGAGAAACAAATTCTCGGCGTTGCTGGTAGCAGTAATGATGTACACCTTATGACATTAGAATATTATAACGAACATAAAGATGAACTGAAAGGAGAGAAGGGTGACACCGGACCACAAGGACCACAAGGAATACAAGGAATACAAGGAATACAAGGACCTCAAGGCGAAAACGGTTTGGATGGAAAGGATGGAAAGGATGGAAAAACTGCTAAATCATGGATATGGGACCTTATAAATACTGGTTTAACAGCTGCTTCATATGGAGTTCTTCAATACCAAATCGGAAAATATGGCAGTACTTGGTGAAGAAGCTTTAGATGACGTTAAAAATGCTTTGAACTTCATTTCAAATGGTTCGGATACTATTAAAACTTTATCTGGTTGGATGCAAGAAACAAGGAGTCAAATAGATACTGTAAGACGTATAGCAAACAATGCACGTACGGGATTGGATACTTTACGAGAAGCACAAAATACACTAAAGGAAGCAAATGATATTCTTGGCTCAGTATCAGACATGCATGAAGATTGGCTTAAAGGTATTGACAATCTTTAAAAAATCACAGTCAGTCTATTGCTGACTACAAGAAAAGTATAGATTTTTTACATAGTGCTATGGACGTACATGATGGAAGCATAAGGAACTTACTTAATGCTAACAATAACTTACCAGGAACTATTAAAGCATTTATAAAGTCCTTTGTAAAACCCGGTGCTCTAACATTTAGGTCTTTGAGAGCAAGAGTTGAAGTCAAGAGATGCAGAAACTCCAGAAGAACCACCAAAACCAACAGCTAATGAATATTGTTCGAATATTTTCCAAGGTACTCTGTTCTCATTGCATACATTCAAGAAATACTTAAGAAAGCAGACTTGACTTTAGGAGATGATGAAAGTTCTGTATATCTTTCGTTCCAGTTTCAAATAGCAGAACTTTTGAGACAGATATGCTTAATGTATGACAACATCTCTGATTTCACAAGATATGATGACGACCATGACCCCGAACACGGTGAAGAAGAAGTTTTACAAACATCCATTAAGACAGGAAAGGTTTTAACTCAAAGTCTCATTATTGACACCAAAGATGGCGAAGTGGACGTTCTTCAAGAGCTGAAGAAAAATACTTCTTCGGGAGGGGTGGTAGGCATGAACTTGAAATAAATGAGATAGAAGAGAAATTAGCCGAAAAAGCAGATAAAGAACATAAACACAATATCTCCGATATAAATGAACTTCAAGCTACATTAAATAGTAAAGCAGATAAAAACCATGTTCATTATATAACTTCAGATGAACAGATTATAACGGACTACCATGGATATTTAACACAGGATGAAAAAGTGAAGACGGAAATGTTAATGAAAGAAGATATAAATACATTCGTGCTAAAGGTTATGACATAAGCTGTACTGTACATTATGACACAGGTAAAGCGCTAGAAGCATTTAGTTATAACGATGAAATTTATGCCTCTACTTTCAATGTTAACGGTGTATTAGTTGAACCAAGATTTACTTTGAGAGTTAAGGCAAAAATAACTTTTGAAGATGCTATTAAAAGTAGAGCCGACAAAGATGAACTTGACGCAACGAACAAAGTTTTGAAATCTCATAAACACAATATCTCCGATATAAATGAACTTCAAGCTACATTAAATAGTAAAGCCGACAAAAATCATACACATAAATCCTTCACTACTGTTAGAGCAGACGACATAATATTGAACTATGATTTGGGTTCAAGTGCACCTTTAGAGAATCCGAGTACAAGCGTAAAAGATACTCTTAACAATTTAGATAAGAGTTGCAGGAATATCGAAGATCATGCCAGAAACTTTGAAGCATATGAACTACCATCAATGTTAGACAGTAAAGCCGACAAAAATCATACACATAAATCCTTCACTACTGTTAGAGCAGACGACATAATATTGAACTATGATTTGGGTTCAAGTGCACCTTTAGAGAATCCGAGTACAAGCGTAAAAGATACTCTTAACAATTTAGATAAGAGTTGCAGGAATATCGAAGATCATGCCAGAAACTTTGAAGCATATGAACTACCATCAATGTTAGACAGTAAAGCCGACAAAAATCATACACATAAATCCTTCACTACTGTTAGAGCAGACGACATAATATTGAACTATGATTTGGGTTCAAGTGCACCTTTAGAGAATCCGAGTACAAGCGTAAAAGATACTCTTAACAATTTAGATAAGAGTTGCAGGAATATCGAAGATCATGCCAGAAACTTTGAAGCATATGAACTACCATCAATGTTAGACAGTAAAGCCGACAAAAATCATACACATAAATCCTTCACTACTGTTAGAGCAGACGACATAATATTGAACTATGATTTGGGTTCAAGTGCACCTTTAGAGAATCCGAGTACAAGCGTAAAAGATACTCTTAACAATTTAGATAAGAGTTGCAGGAATATCGAAGATCATGCCAGAAACTTTGAAGCATATGAACTACCCGCAATGTTAGACAAGAAAGCAGACAAAACAGAGCTTCAAACATTAAAGACTCAGATTCTTGAAACATTATATCCTATAGGCTCTATTTATACGTCAATGAACTCAACAAATCCAGCAACAGTTTTAGGTTTTGGTACATGGCAGCAGATTGTAGACAAATTCTTATACTGTGCTAACTCTTCAAAGCAAACAGGAGGTTCGAAGAAAATTACTGAAGCAAACCTTCCACCGCACACTCATACAGGAACTACAAACTTTTCTGGCGACCATAGCCACTCATTAAGAGACCATCCATTATACAACTCAGAGTATGAAGCTGGCAATGATGTTTTATCTCCATCTTATAACAATTCAGCAAAAAAGACTTTTCGACCAACTGAACCAGGAGGAAATCATGTCCATACTTTCACAACAAATCCAACAGGCTCGGGTGCAGATTATATGCCACCATTTGTGACTGTATTTGCATGGTACCGCGTTCAATGAACGCGCTTGAGCCTAGACCCTTTGGGTCAAGGCTTACCGTCTTGAATAAAATCTTTAACTTTACATAAATGAGCTTGAAAGAAGTATTCGAACAACATCCATGGAGGTCATTTAAGAAGTTCAATGAAGCAGCAAAGAGTTGGGGATTTACTAACAGAGCTGAAGTGAAAAGGTTCTTTGACAAAAATGTTGTACATCAAACAAAAATAAACCCTTACGACTACTTTTTACCAATTTACTCCAACGCTCCTGACGCATACCAATTTGATACTCTCATTCAAAGCAGAAAAGGAGGACATAAACCATTCCTCATCTTCATTAATGTTAACACTCGCAAAGCTTTTGCGTATATAATGAAAAATAAAGGAACTCGTGAAGTGTTAAGAGTTTTACAAAAGTTTGTAGCAGAACATAGCCCAAGTACTTTAACATCAGACCAAGACAGTGCATACCTCAGCAATGAAATCACAGAATTTCTCATTAAGCATAACATAACTCACTACACTACTGAAGACCATAACCATAACATACTCGGCATCATTAACCGCTTCATAAGAACGCTCAGAGATTTAAACCAAGAGCGAGACTTTACCGAAGAAACAATGAAACACTTTCTCGAAGTATATAATTCCTCAACACATTCTACAACAGGACATACACCAAATTCAATGACACAACAACAAGAAGAAAAGTATATACAAAAGAAACGAAGCCAAACACAAAATATCAGAAATTCAACACAATTTACTCTCATTCCTGGTACAAAAGTTCGTGTAGTTCTTGACGACAAACCGTTGACAAAGAAACGTTTAAGGTTAAGTCGAAATTATTATATAGTAGACTCTACGCAAGGTAATGGATATCTTATAAAAGCTGCCGACGACTCTATTGCGTTTTATCCTCGTCATAAATTAGTCGAAAGTTGTAATGGCAAACTTGCTGAAACCATTGACGAAGCAAAGCGAGGAGTGGTTATTGAAATACTTGGCTATAACACAAACGATGACACTTATAAAGTAAGATATGAAGGAGGCGTTGAAGATGTTATACCATCTAAGAACTTGAGAGAGTCGAAGCCAACACATCTGGGACCATTAGAGCGGGAGTACTGGAAAGACAAAAATATGCCAGAAAGAATAAGAAAATTCTTCTAAACTTTTTCATTAGATGTAAATCAGACATGAATGAGAACAGTCATGTATTATTAATGGTACCATTTATTTTAACATAAAGACGCAAACGGACTCTTTGAGTCCTGAGGTCTTTCAGACCGAAGCGGCGAGGACGAAGTCCATGACCAAAAATAATGTTTAGGGTAGATGGTTAGATCTAACCTCATTTCTACCCTCATTTCTAACCTCAGCCGCTAAGCGGCGAGACCCAAAGGGTCTTGAATTTTCATGAATTTCCTTAAGACAGAAAAAATAAAGTTAGTTTTATTTTTATTTATTTTTTTATTTTGTATGTAAAGATATGATTTCAACAATCGAAACATCAGCACTTTCGACAGCATGCACGGTACCAAACTCGCTAGTCATGAATCCTACGTCAATGTTGTAGAGATGAAAAACTTCATTCCTTCTTCATATACTTTTGAAACAGAAATACAAAGAATAAAGCAAGAACTTTTAACAAGTAATTTAGACTGTAGTGCGAAAGATGAAACAAATGGAGAGGAGCTATATGAAATGCAAGATATCATAGACCATTTGCCTAAATTACCGGAAGTTCAGCAACAAAAACTAACTATTCCTGAATTCGATGAAATTGAAGTTAAAGTTACTGATTCAGTAGAAATAAAGAAGTTCATACGTAAAGTAAATTATGAATTCCTTGGTTTTCATTGCAACCATAAAGTTATGAACAAAGATTGCGACATGGTTTATAAAAACATTTCTGACATATATAAATCTGAGGAGTTTAAGACATACGACAACTTTGTTTCATTAGCTGCTGAATGTGTGTGGCAGATAAGAGATAAAGACAGAAGAGGCAAAGTATGGAATGGACAAATAAAACCAACAACTTTTGAGTTAAAGAAAACCATTGACGCCTTAGTTGTTCTAGCAGGTCAAATTTCAATGTATAACGCAAAAATGAATCCTCATTGTTGCTTTACATTTTGAACATTGCGGATTCATTTTTGCGTTATACATTGAAATTTGACCTGCTAGAACAACTAAGGCGTCAATGGTTTTCTTTAACTCAAAAGTTGTTGGTTTTATTTGTCCATTCCATACTTTGCCTCTTCTGTCTTTATCTCTTATCTGCCACACACATTCAGCAGCTAATGAAACAAAGTTGTCGTATGTCTTAAACTCCTCAGATTTATATATGTCAGAAATGTTTTTATAAAACCATGTCGCAATCTTTGTTCATAACTTTATGGTTGCAATGAAAACCAAGGAATTCATAATTTACTTTACGTATGAACTTCTTTATTTCTACTGAATCAGTAACTTTAACTTCAATTTCATCGAATTCAGGAATAGTTAGTTTTTGTTGCTGAACTTCCGGTAATTTAGGCAAATGGTCTATGATATCTTGCATTTCATATAGCTCCTCTCCATTTGTTTCATCTTTCGCACTACAGTCTAAATTACTTGTTAAAAGTTCTTGCTTTATTCTTTGTATTTCTGTTTCAAAGTATATGAAGAAGGAATGAAGTTTTTCATCTCTACCAACATTGACGTAGGATTCATGACTAGCGAGTTTGGTGCCGTGCATGCTGTCGAAAGTGCTGATGTTTCGATTGTTGAAATCATATCTTTACATACAAAATAAAAAAATAAATAAAAATAAAACTAACTTTATTTTTTCTGTCTTAAGGAAATTCATGAAAATTCAAGACCCTTTGGGTCTCGCCGCTTAGCGGCTGAGGTTAGAAATGAGGGTAGAAATGAGGTTAGATCTAACCATCTACCCTAAACATTATTTTTGGTCATGGACTTCGTCCTCGCCGCTTCGGTCTGAAAGACCTCAGGACTCAAAGAGTCCGTTTGCGTCTTTATGTTAAAATAAATGGTACCATTAATAATACATGACTGTTCTCATTCATGTCTGATTTACATCTAATGAAAAAGTTTAGAAGAATTTTCTTATTCTTTCTGGCATATTTTTGTCTTTCCAGTACTCCCGCTCTAATGGTCCCAGATGTGTTGGCTTCGACTCTCTCAAGTTCTTAGATGGTATAACATCTTCAACGCCTCCTTCATATCTTACTTTATAAGTGTCATCGTTTGTGTTATAGCCAAGTATTTCAATAACCACTCCTCGCTTTGCTTCGTCAATGGTTTCAGCAAGTTTGCCATTACAACTTTCGACTAATTTATGACGAGGATAAAACGCAATAGAGTCGTCGGCAGCTTTTATAAGATATCCATTACCTTGCGTAGAGTCTACTATATAATAATTTCGACTTAACCTTAAACGTTTCTTTGTCAACGGTTTGTCGTCAAGAACTACACGAACTTTTGTACCAGGAATGAGATAAATTGTGTTGAATTTCTGATATTTTGTGTTTGGCTTCGTTTCTTTTGTATATACTTTTCTTCTTGTTGTTGTGTCATTGAATTTGGTGTATGTCCTGTTGTAGAATGTGTTGAGGAATTATATACTTCGAGAAAGTGTTTCATTGTTTCTTCGGTAAAGTCTCGCTCTTGGTTTAAATCTCTGAGCGTTCTTATGAAGCGGTTAATGATGCCGAGTATGTTATGGTTATGGTCTTCAGTAGTGTAGTGAGTTATGTTATGCTTAATGAGAAATTCTGTGATTTCATTGCTGAGGTATGCACTGTCTTGGTCTGATGTTAAAGTACTTGGGCTATGTTCTGCTACAAACTTTTGTAAAACTCTTAACACTTCACGAGTTCCTTTATTTTCATTATATACGCAAAAGCTTTGCGAAGTGTTAACATTAATGAAGATGAGGAATGGTTTATGTCCTCCTTTTCTGCTTTGAATGAGAGTATCAAATTGGTATGCGTCAGGAGCGTTGGAGTAAATTGGTAAAAAGTAGTCGTAAGGGTTTATTTTTGTTTGATGTACAACATTTTTGTCAAAAAACCTTTTCACTTCAGCTCTGTTAGTAAATCCCCAACTCTTTGCTGCTTCATTGAACTTCTAAATGACCTCCATGGATGTTGTTCGAATACTTCTTTCAAGCTCATTTATGTAAAGTTAAAGATTTTATTCAAGACGGTAAGCCTTGACCCAAAGGGTCTAGGCTCAAGCGCGTTCATTGAACGCGGTACCATGCAAATACAGTCACAAATGGTGGCATATAATCTGCACCCGAGCCTGTTGGATTTGTTTGTGAAAGTATGGACATGATTTCCTCCTGGTTCAGTTGGTCGAAAAGTCTTTTTTGCTGAATTGTTATAAGATGGAGATAAAACATCATTGCCAGCTTCATACTCTGAGTTGTATAATGGATGGTCTCTTAATGAGTGCTATGGTCGCCAGAAAAGTTTGTAGTTCCTGTATGAGTGTGCGGTGGAAGGTTTGCTTCAGTAATTTTCTTCGAACCTCCTGTTTGCTTTTGAAGAGTTAGCACAGTATAAGAATTTGTCTACAATCTGCTGCCATGTACCAAAACCTAAAACTGTTGCTGGATTTGTTGAGTTCATTGACGTATAAATAGAGCCTATAGGATATAATGTTTCAAGAATCTGAGTCTTTAATGTTTGAAGCTCTGTTTGTCTGCTTTCTTGTCTAACATTGCGGGTAGTTCATATGCTTCAAAGTTTCTGGCATGATCTTCGATATTCCTGCAACTCTTATCTAAATTGTTAAGAGTATCTTTTACGCTTGTACTCGGATTCTCTAAAGGTGCACTTGAACCCAAATCATAGTTCAATATTATGTCGTCTGCTCTAACAGTAGTGAAGGATTTATGTGTATGATTTTTGTCGCTTTACTGTCTAACATTGATGGTAGTTCATATGCTTCAAAGTTTTCTGGCATGATCTTCGATATTCCTGCAACTCTTATCTAAATTGT